CACGCGCGCGGAGCCACAGGTCCGCTACGACACGCGTCCGCGGATAGAGACAATCAGCGCCATGGTAAGGGATGGGAGGGAGGGGTAGGATGTCAGATGTTGACGCGAGCGCACCTAACTTGTCCTCCTCCTCCTCCTCCTCCTCCTCCTCCTCCTCCTCCTCCTCCTCCTCCTCCCCCTCCTCGTCCTCCGCCTCCTCCTCCTCTTGTCCTCCTCCTCCTCCTCCTCCTCCTCCTCCTCCTCCTCCTCCTCCCCAGGCCCCCGACGCAGTGTTTTTTCTCGCAACGTGGACACCCAGAGGTCTCGACCCATCCCCCAGGGCCGGTGTTTCATCCCGTGCTGTTGCTTGACGGTCCCGGGGCCCAGTAAGGGCGCCCAGAGGCCAACAAAAAACCCAAACTTCCCTTCACGTGTTTATTCACGACGCGAGGGGGGCTGGATCTTCCTCCTCAATCCTCCTCCTCCTCCTCCTCCTCCTCATCCTCCTCCTCATCATCCTCCTCCTCCTTATCGAATCTCGAACCTCAATACTCCTTTTCGATTCTCGAGGAGGCGAGGGAACAGCTGATCCAGCAGCCGGAGCCCGCTCGCGGCCGCGACATTGCTCGGAGGCCTCCGAAGGGGGGGGCCCTGCCGGAAACGGGATCAGTTGCAGCCAACCCGCATGGTAAGGATGGGCAGCCTACCCAAGGGTACCCCAAGGGCACCCCTGCACGCAGCAACGTGTGTGTAATGCTGTCTGCCCGTAGCTTTTGGCTCTCAGTTTGGAGGGAGCTCGACCACCAGTCCACCATCCCAAGAGGCGGGGGGAGCCAGAACAGACTAGCACAGGGCGGATTGACCGCGGGGCCACAAAAGAGAGGGTACCCCCGCATCCTTGCCTCCTCGGTCCATCCTTGGCCACTTTCGTTGGCCGCTCCCCGCTCTCGCGGAGGCAGCTGCCCGCCGCACGCGCAGTCCTGCATCCCCCTGAGCGGGTCGTGCGTGGCGGGCCCCCCTCCCACCAAATTTGGCGCACTCGCCTGAGCCGGGCACCGCCTCTCGAAGCGTTGGGCGCCGCCGCGCGGCGCCGCGACCGCTCAGCGCGCGCGTCGGTTAAACCATCGATGGACTTCGAGAAGGGGCGTCCAAGGCCCTGGCATCCTCACAGCGCATGCTGGTAGTACGGGCCGGCTGTACAGTTTCTATCCAGTGCAAGCCGTTCAGGTACAAATCCCAACAGGCCCGTGCGGCCTTGGAGGGTTAAATATATAAATATCAAACACAGACAGAAAGAGAGAGAGAGAGAGAAAAAAAAAAAAAACAAAAAAAAAAAACAAAAAAAAAAAAGACAACAAAAACGACAGAAAGAGAGAGAGAGAGAGAGAGAGAGCAATCCTGGAGATCCTCACAGGGCCCCTGCGAGATCAGTACGGGATCCGCTGGAGATCTGAGAGATCCTTGCGGGGTCTTTGAGAGATCCTTACAGGGCCCCTGAGAGATGCTCACGGTATCCGTGAGAGATCCGCACCGGGCCACGGACAGACAGGGATCCTTGCACGATCCCTGGGGGATCCTTACAGGACCCCTGAGAGATCTTCACAGGGTTCTGAAACATCCCTACAGGGCCCTAGGGTGATCCTTACAGGGCCCCTGAGAGATCCTTACAGGGCTTCAAAAGATATGCACTTGGCCTCTGCGATACGTTCCAAGGCCCCGAGGGTAACGATTCCAATGGACGCGCTACAAGCCATTGAGGGCCCGGAGTGTTCCCGAATTCATGGGGAGGGAGAGGGGGACCGAATGAGTTAGTTATCCTCCCGCTGCCGCCGCCTAGCCGTTAGGGTTCCGCCCCCTGTCTTGTAGGCACGGGATTATCCACGCACCCGTGGGTAATCCTTCCAGAAATTACAATGAACATTGTTACGCGTGCTGGTACGACCCTCACAGCTAAAGCTAGTGCCGTGGTGAATGCCAGTGTCATATACAATTGTCAGACAGCGCGACAGCAATGCATACTGCTCCCGACAGGGGATTGCGAGCCTCAACTCGAAAACCATGAGTTTTCAAAGGGAAGCCTCGAGAGCCCCCGTGTGGAGAGCATGCAGATGTCATAACACATTTACACGTGAAATGCGCAAGCCCATGGAGCTCTTTGCAAGCATGAGAGGCTACCCCCGCAATGAAATCTACAATCGTTGTTTGTTAGATTTTGCGTTCAGCCCCGGACCATTATCTCACGAAGCTTGAGCAGCTCCCGTGTGGAAGTGCAGTGCTCATGTGGTCGCTCGTCCCTTTACATGACAAGTAGACGCAGGCGTTTGCAGTTTTTGCATCAACTACACAGTTCCCATTCGAATGAAGTACAGTGCCCATGCGAACGCGATCGTTTTTGTATAACAAATGGGGGCCACGCACACATATGTTCAGTTTGTTGTTTGTCACGCCCGCATGGAACAGATACATATCAGAATGGACGCGCTACAAATATCGGTCGGCAGCAGCACACATTCCCCCTGAGATCGAACAGCTGTTTTCTGCGAGCGCTGCGCACGTCACAAATCAACGCCGTAGAATTCTCGACTATGTACCCATGTCAATGTACGTGTTTGTTGGTGCAAAGTTGACACGCACTCACAACCCTTTCCGATTTAGAAACTACACAGATCTCACACGACAGCTTACGACATATCACATGCATATGCCATTAAAACCACGCCATTCTCCACACAACTCGCACATTCACGTGGCAACGAACAGCTCCCATGCGCAAGCTGGGCAAATGGCATGGCGACCACCTTTTCCCCCACAGTGCAATTACATAGGTCATATGTGTTTACGCTTTCCATGTGGAGTTGTACAATTCTGGGTTGAAAATCGATGCTTCGCTGACCAAGGCGGGACCCAGGGGCTGACATACGGAAAAACCGCCCTGATTGAAAAAACGAGGTCGTCGGCTCCACGAGCCGACGCCACGGAAAAAACGCAAACTGGTGACCAAAACGTCGACCAGAGCTTTGGACTTGATCTGTCTGTTGCAGTTCGAGCCGGCCGGATCGGTCTGTGATGGAGAGTCCTCAGGATTCTGTTGTATACCACACCTTCCCCCCCACAGTCCGATTCCACCGCCCGCTGCTTCGCCCCGTAAACAAAAAACCACGCCCCGGGGAGGGAGTCTCGTAGACCAGACCCACGACCAAGGCCCTCGCTCGCCCTCCCGGGCTTTTTCGATATCGTATGCAGATGTTTCGGGTGGAGAGGGCGGGTGTGCATTCAACAGCTGCAGCGCCAGGACCTACGTTAATATGCTAATATTATGCGTGCGCCGCCCCACCGGGGGCGATTCGCGAACCTAGAAATCTCGTAGTATATGCGTCGTGGCCAGCGCTTCCTGGCCATACCGTTTGGGAAACGATCTACTACAAGATGGCCACATTTGCTGGTCGGACGCGCGCCTCCAAGGAGGACATATAGCACTAGTATGTCTATATGCGTCCCACTGTGGGCCTCTCATGCGGTCGGGCCCAGGGCCTTCCCCGTGAAGAGCCCGGCCCTATCGAGGGGGAGATGCCTTCAGAAAGGGGCGGCGCGAGATGGAGGCAGAGGGGGAGGAGGATGAGGAGGAGGGAAGATGGAGGAGGAGGAGGAGGAGGAGGAGGAGGAGGAGGAGGAGGAGGAGGAGGGCGACGAGTTGGACCGTTTTCGATCGGCTGGGGGTGACACGGGCTACGCTGAGGAGTGTTGCTCGGCGCCCTGGGGCATGGCAGCGTTGATGCATCAGTTCCAGCGCTATCAGCACGCAGTGCGCAGGAGGAGGACTAGAGGGAGGAGGAGGAAGAGGAGGAGGAGGAGGAGGAGAAAACAGACAGGAGGAGGAGGAGGAGGAAGAGGAGCTGGATTAAAAAAGGAGAATGAGAGGAGGAGGGCAAGACCGCCCTCACAGTAGGCAAGGACAGGTTTTGGTGCCTGCGATTTCCCCTCAGCGAAGTGCGGATGACATGGGTTTCGCTTTCCGGGCGGACGGGCGCCCTGTTTTGTCGGGCAGTCGTGTGGCGGGGTGCGCATATTGTGGCAGCTATGCATGGGAAGGTATGCAACACCTTGCGAAGCCATGACGGGCTCCAGCCCTTGCCTTAAAGAGGCAGCGGAATCAGGTTCCTGAGGGCAAGTTCCCTGGCTTAGCCCCCGCAGCACGCGGGCTGGAGAATCGGGCCTTTGACGGAGGCCACTGGACACGACGTGGCTGGTCTGGTGGCTCGTCGGGCTCCGAGTCTCGTCTCCTGGGAGGCTCAAGCTGACGAGCTCCAGGCTGGGGTTGGTCGAGGATTGGTGCGGGGTCGGTCGGAACTTCTCGCCAGGTTTGGGCTGCCCTCGGAGACTACAGTACTGTAGGTGCATGGGCGACCCGTGCTAAACCCATCAAGGTTGCCGCTGCAAACGTAGCGGATCTGGTTGGAGGCGGTTCGGAATCGGATTTTGTTGAGCATTGTGTCTCCCATCTCGATCTTGAGTTATTCTGTTTAGAGCTTCTCGGCATCATTCGACGAGTTGCCCGTTACCGCGAAGCGCAGCGACGAGTTGTATTGAAGGAAGGAGGAGGAGGAGGAGGAGGAGGAGGAGGAGGAGGAAGAGGAGGAGGAGGCGGAGGAGGAGGAGGAGGCGGAGGAGGAGGAGGAGGAGGGGGAGGGGGAGAAGGAGGAGGAGCAGGAGGAGCAGGAGGAGAAGGAGGAGGAGGAGGAGGCGGAGGGGGGACGAACATGACAGGGAGGAGGAGGAGGAGGAGGAGGAGGAGGAGGAGGAGGAGCAGGATCAGAGGGGGAACACAGGAGGCGGACGAGGAGGAGGACGAGGCGTATGCCGATGCCTTTGGCCCCTGTGGGCGCCGCCGCCCCAGGGCGGCCCTCGCCGCGCTCCTCGCGGCCGCCGCCGCGGCGTCGGCCGCGGCGCTCGCCCTCGGGCAGCGCGGCGGCGCAGGGCGTGGTGCCTCCTCGCAGGCGTGGCTGGCCCTGGAGGAGTCGGAGGCGCTGGCGCCGCCGCCGCCGCCGCCGCCGTCGTCATCGTCGTCGTCGTCGCCGCCGCCGCCGCCGTCGTCGTCGTCGTCGTCGTCGTCGTCGTCGTCGTCGTCGTCGTCGTCGTCGTCGTCGTCGTCGTCGTTCCGTCCCAGAATCCAGGCCCATTTTCTGCGGTGGAGTCACGGCACGAGTTCGGCGCAGCGGCACGGTAGTTGCAGGATCATTGTGAATTCCTCGAGGTTCGCTCGTTCGCTCCTTTTTCTCCCCCTCCTTCTCCTGCATGGGGTCGCTCTTTTTCCTCCTCTTCCGCTTCCTCTTTACCCCCCTAACTCCTCGGGGCTGGTGGTTTGAGTTGCGCAACGTTTTGGCGAGGCCTCCCGGAGCATCCTCGTCGATCGATTCGGGGTCGTTTTGAGGGTGGAGGTCGAGGGGGAAGGCTGCGCGGGGAAACTCGTTCGGCCCGCGGAGGACAGTCGAGGATCGAGGTGGCGTCCGGAGGTTGATCGTCTGGCCTTTGGTGCCCGCGTTGCAGAGGGCCCACGAAGTTGCTGGGCCCGCAGTTTCCTCGGACCTCTTAGTGCCCCCCCCGGGGGTCCCCACGACATACTACCAGAGGCCGCCGAGGAGGTGGGGAGAGGCAAGGGGCGGGGGATCCGAGGCACAGGTTGTTCTGAGGTCTCGGGGCCCGTCCGGGATGTGGCTTGACACGCTGGCCCCCTCACATGCCCGCGTCGTGAAGCATCACGACGGGAGGCGATTGACCTTCTTCGGCCCCTGGTGGGCGCGACTCGCGGGGCCCCGGGACCGTCGAGAAACGGCTCGGGAGAAGGAGTTGGCCCTGCGGAAGGGGTCGGAACTCGCGGGGGGCCCGTCTTGAGCAAAACACAGGACATCGCATGTCTGGGGAGGCGAATGGGAACCGACTCTGACGAAAATGAACGGCCCAGCCCAGACGTTATATGTGTAGAGAGATGCATATATACATATATGTATATATATATATATATATATGTGTGTAGATATACACATACATGCATACATACATACATACACACACATACACACATACACACATACACACAGACAGGCAGACAGACAGACAGACAGACAGACAGACAGACAGACAGACAGACAGACAGACAGACAGACATACGTGGTACATGTGCGTATGTGTACATATATACATACGTGTAAGGATATATCTATACATAGGCCTTCAGCCCATCCCGCCACCATGCCTGGGCTGTGGGTATGAAGCGTATGAAGTGTTTGTTGGGATCTCGTGTGAGGCCTCTCGGGGGCCTCTTGGAGGCAGTTTGAAGGCCTCTTGGGGGCCGTTTGGGGGCCTCTTGGGATTTGTTTTGTGCCTCTTGGGGGCGTCTTGGGGGCCTTAGGGGGGCATCTCAAAGCCTCGGGGGGGGGGCGTGTCTTTGAGCAGTCAGCTTGAAAGGTCGGCTCGGGTCTTCCCTCGGGGGCTCGCCTTCAGGAATGCTTGTGATCCCCTTTGGCCATCTTGGAGGCCTCTTTGTCCGTTTTGTGGCCTCTTGGACTGTCTCGGCGCCGTCTTGGGGGCCTGTTAGGCCGTCTTAGGGCGATCGTTGGTGCTTCTTGGGCTGTTTGGGAGCGTCGGGGAGCCGAATAGGCGAGAACGCCAAAATCCGGCTAAAACCTTGCGACAATCAGCGAATGTTGCCTCTTGTGGCCCTCCTGGGAGTGCTCTTGGATGCTTATCGGGTCGTCTAGAGGCTATCTTCGGCGTCTTAGTGCGATCTTCCGTCGACGCTGGGCGCTTTTCGACAGTCTTGGCGGCATCCCGGGGCGGTACTGGCCCGTTTGGGCGATCTCGTGGGCGATGGGGCCGTCCCGGAAGCCCACGCGTAACACCCGAGAGCGCCCAGGAGCGCCCGCAAGCGCCCAGGAATTTCTTGGTCCGGGCCTTTTAGAATTAAGTCGGGCCTGCCCCTCTACATGAGAAAAATTTTAAAAAATGACAAAAATAGTCTTGGATCGATGGTTTGAAAATTTGTTGCTATTTGAAAATATTTCCCCAATCAGAGCTTGCTTCTGTATGGATCCTAGCGGATATAAAGCTGAGGTGAGGTGGGCGGCCGATTTCGGTGGCCGGGGCCGGGTGCCCGGGTGCCCGGGGGTGCCCGGGTGACCGACTTCGGTGGCCGGGCCCGGGGGCCCGGGGGCCCGGGGGCCCGGGGGCTGCCCGGGTGCCCGGGGGTGCCCGGGTGTCCGAGGGTGCCCAATTGCCCAGTAGCCATATAGCCCTATAGCCGTATAGCCCTATAGCCCTGTAGCCCTATAGCCTTATATCCCTATAGCCCTACCCTATCCTTCCCTGTGCCCAAGAATCCTGATCGATCCATGGGATCGATCATTTCCTCGATCTTTTGACTTTGGGCTGATGGGATCGATCTTTTTGCTCGATCCCCGTGCCTGAAGTTCTCGGGTACCGTGCCCGAAGTTTTCGGGTACCGTGCCCGAAGTTTTTGGGGACCGTGCCCGATCTCACCGTGCCCGAAGTTTTTGGGGACCGTGCCCGATCCACCGTGCCCGAAGTCTTTGGGAACCGTGCCCGATCTCTGCGCCTGATCCCCGTGCCCGACGTTAGCAGACCCCTGCTGTGGTAGTGGTGGTAGTGGTAGTAGTCGTAGTGGGAGTAGTGGTAACAGTGATAATGGGAGTAGTGGTGCAAGTGGTAGTTTGGGGGTAGTGATGAAAGTGGTGGGGAATAGGAAAGGGGCGATTTGCTTCCTAGGGCTTGCATCCTTAACGGGATGGGGAGGGGAAGGGGCACTTGCATCCTTGCATCCTTGCATCCTTGCATCCTTGCACCGCGCATCAAGGGCGCACGCGCCCTTGCATCTGAGCGAACCGCTGAGCCCCCCTCGCCCCACTCACCTCATCCGCAGCCGTTTTGGCTTTTCAGGCACTGGCCAGATTTTAGCTTTCAGCTTTTGAGTTGGAGCTTTTGTTCGTGGCCATGGCATCGTGCGCGCCGAGGCAAGTGGCGAACCCAACAGTGTACACCGACGCGTACGTGCAGGCCATCAGAGGCCACATGGGCACTGCATACTTCTCGAAGTTTTTCGTTCCTGAGAGGTTGGCCTCTTAGGCCTTTCCACGTCACCCCCGACTGCGTGATCAAGATCGCGCCCATCCTGGACGCCTTCGTGACTGCAGGCCTCGACAACATGACAGTCCTGCCCAAGCGGATCGAGGAGGCGCTGGAGGAGATTATGAAGGCTGACGACCACCCAGTCGGTATGTGCAGGAATACGTTCATTGGTCACCTTGTGAATCATTTCCAGTTAGTCATGAAGTTCATTCGCACGATGAAGTATGAGGACACCTGTGCCAAAATGATGAGGAAGTGCAGGAGAACTGGCAGTTTTCGGAACAAGCTGAGCGGGGCCGACTCGATCGTCGCCCAAGGCATCCTCCGCAGGATTAAGGTCACTTCGGCCGATGCAGCGAGCGGCAGCGAGCCTGCGCACTCGCCCCCGCCAGAGTCTGCTCGGGCCGCGTCGCCTCCTCCTAAGGCGTCTCGGGCGCTGTCTCCACCGACGTTTCCCTCGGCCACCGCGTTCGGAGGTGCGCCCCCTCTCGCGCCTTCGCCCTCCTCGGGGTTCAAGAAGATCTTTGGCAAGCAGACGCAGTGCAGGCCGTTGCGGGCGACCTTCTTGGAGAGCTCAGATGGGGGGTCCGAGAACGGCATCGAGGCAGCCGACACCACGGAGCACGCCATCGCGTCCTTGACAGACCTGCTGGCAGGCGCTGCCGCAAAGGCCTCGTCAACGTGCGAGCCTGAGGCGTCAGCTATCCCCCTCGAGACCGCTGAGCCCCTCGAGGATGACGACTACGACGACAACGGCTTGCTCAAGGCCAGCGCGGGCGCGACCAAGGTCCGCGCGCTCATCCCGAACCCCGGGAAGAGGAAGAACCAGGTGTTGGGGACATGCCGCCGCAAGCGCATGAGGCGCCCAGCTGCCGCGTCGGGCGTGGGGCCTGCCGCGCAGGAGCAGGTGGGGGAATCCGAAGAGCCACCGCGGCCCGAACCTGCGCTGAGGAGGCCTGCCGCGATGGCGCCTCCACCGAAGTCCCCGAGACCTGACGTGGGCAAGAGCGCGGCCAAGGCCGAAGTGGACACGTTCAACGTGCCCTTGGAGAGGTCGGCTCTGGTCGGACCGACTGCGGAGGAGAAGCCGAGGTACGAGTTGCGCGCGTTCATCACGCACGGCGGCCGCCAGAAGCGGGTGCACGTCTGGTCTTCGACCGAGACGACGCACGGCCCGAACCCCGGCGACCACATGCGTCAGATTGCAAAGGAGATCGACTCCAATCACATTTCCAAGAAGCAGTGCCTGGAGATCCGTGATAGACTCAAGGCGTAGGTGGCGAGCTGTATGGCGTTTGTTTCGGCTGCACAGCTAGCCTTTTAGTTTCGGGAGGGATGGGGGCTGGAGGAGGCGAGTGAGGGAGGCGGGAGGAGGAGTAGACATTTCAGCTCTGCCGCAGGGTCGGGGCAGAGTTCGGGTTCTCTGCGAGGCTGGCCTTGGCGCGCGATGAAATGTGTTGGCAGGCAAGGTCGCTCGGCGCCGAGGTGCGCTGCTGGCCATGCTTATTCCGCAGTTAAGCAGTTGATGCAGCAGTTCCGCAGTCCACCATCACATGCCGTCAGAATGACCTTGTTAATCTCACTTCGTTCCTCAACTTTCCCAGGCCCCATGGCATCCAAATGACGATTGTAAGAACTTATGAGAAGGGTGCATTGGGCTGGAGGGTGCATAGCAGCATCGCTGATGCATCCGGGGTTTTCTCTGGTCCTTATCCTTCTCCTCCTCGTCATCCCCCCTCTCCTAAACGTAATCTGTAGGCTCGGCCTCTCCACGGGTTCCCCCCTTGTCCTTGCTGCCCCCTAGCCCTGCCTGTGCCCTTGTGGGCGGCGGAGTGGGGGGGGCCTAGTGGAGGGCCTCACCCATCCCTTAGATGGGTGGCCA